GGAGATAACCACCAGGGCTGAGGTGTGGCAGAAGGRTCTACAGATGTTCTGGGGTCCACTGCATTGTGTGTGGGGTGGGGGGTTGACTCTGATGTTTACCTCCTACTACCTGGGATCTGGACTAAGGGCAAATTCTGCCTTTGAAGAGCATCTCTTCATATTGCCCCCAAGTGTTTCTCACTCCTAACCTACTGCACCAACAGTCAATTCCTGGAAGACCATATTCTTAGCTCAGAAGTGCAGACCAGAAAGACAAGGGCCCTGACCCAGAACTTAGGCTCTGTCAGGTCCAAAACAATGTATCCCATTCCATCTCTTGGGCTTTTGCTGTAGCTCTAGGCTTCTGCAGATCAGAGAGCAGGTACCACATACGTCCTGGTGGCTAGAAGAGGCCAGACGTAGAGTAGGCACTCAGAAATGCTATTAGATTTGTATATACCTTGCCAAGTTCTGGGCTGGTGATTCTGAGGCACAGAAGGTCCTGTGGGTGCTCCACAAAGGAGAACCTTCACGGCCTGTGTACACTGAGGCACTGAGAGCAAAGGGCATCTCATACAGGACAGGCCAGCAGAACTGACTGGTGGACCCCACCTCTCCAAGTCAGTGTCCCCTGTGGGCATGGTACTCCATATCCCATGACTCAGAAATCTCTGCTATAACCATCGTCCTTATCCACAGCAGCCTGTTTTTTTCAAATGAGTCACAAAGCAGTTAAAAATGCCATATTGATTTTTACCAAGAATTCAGTGTTCTGATACTTGACTGACTTAATTTCATTACCCTCTGGAGAAAAGAACTTTAATACTCAGAAAGAAATCTTAGGCATTTGCATTTTTGATAAATAAATGATGAGAAGTTATTAAATGACTTAAATAAGTTAAATCACTAAATAAAATTAAATGCTATTAAATAAATGATGGGATGATTTTCTCAAAGTTGTATCTCCGGATAAGATTCACAAATCTGTTTTAAAATAGCTAAGGAAGACTGTTATAATCACTAACAGATTCTACATAAGGTCATAGTGTTGCAATTCATGTGTTCCCTCTCATTGGGCAAAGGTGGAGGCTTCTCTAACACTAGGTATATTCATTAGAGCTCAAAGCCTGTATACTGAGGCTTTGCATCCACGGATTCAACCAAATAGGGATGGAAAAATATGTTTTAAAAAACAGCACATAATAACTATTTACATAGCATTTGCATCGTATTAAAGATGATAAATAATTTAAAGGATTCAGGAAGATGTGCATAGGTTCTAGGCAAATACTATAACATTTTTACCTAAGGGACTTGAGCATTCACAAACCTTGGTAGCCATAGGGATCTTAAATCAATTCTCACCCACGTACTAAGATGACTGTACTTTCTTTTACCTTCCACGAATGAACAGTTCTATGTGTGCTCTCACTTCATTGGCAAAGCCATAGAATACAACCTTAGATAAGTGCAATATCTGTAGACTCTGGCATGTAAATATTTACAAACAAACCAACACTGTGGTCTTTTAAAATCCATAAAATCCAGTAAATCGAAAAAGAAAACTCCAAAAGTCTGAGTTTAACCCAGGCAAATCGAAACTTCTCACGCTGTTTATGATCACTGAGAACATTAGGGAGGACCCGTGAGCACGTACAGAAGTCACACCACTGGAACTAGGAAGTGTCTGGGCTCATGGTCTCCAAACTCCCAGCCATTCCTGCCGAGTCAACAGCACTCTGAACAAACTGTACTCGGGACAGTTGTAGAGCAGGCACCAGGCCAGTTAGGGGAGGTAATAAGCCAGGGTGAGGCTGGAGAAGTCAGACCTGCCTTGTGCTGCTCTGTCAGAGTACTTGGGTAGGATCCTAGACCCAGGAAAGAAGCAAAGCCTGGGAAGCCTGTGGGAGTCAAGACCAAGGAAACCAGACAGGACTGCACCAGGGGGGCAGTCAGCTGGTTTTGTCCCAGAACAGTGATCTCTGATCACTGATCTGGTTGGTCTCAGTGTACCCCAGTTTAAGGATCTTAGATGCTTGTATGAAACTTAGCTACTCCCACCAACCACGAAGACAACCCAGTTAAGCCCCGTGGGCACCCTCAGCACAGCACCTGCCAAGAACTCAGCCATCGCTCAGTCATTAATCTGGGGTGAGGTCTTCGTGTAAGAACTTGTAGAGTTTGCCCTGTGGCTGCTGCACCACTGGGATTCCCTAGGACAAGGTGCAGGGGTGCTCAAAAGAAGACTTCCCCATCCTTCTAGATGGAAAGGACAACCTCTTTCTTTCCACACATCACCATTACTTATTAATGCCGAATACTCCCTTCTGCCTTCATCTTGGATCACTTGTCATTCTCTGCACCACCTTGACAAGCTCTGAGCTACAGGGTCTGCAAAGGCGCTGGCACGGAATAGAGGCTCAGGGTGACAGGGGAAGGCAGACAGGTCAGAGGGAGAGTCAGAAGTTCCACATGCTGCTGGCAGTGGTGGGGCTGAGGGATCTGCTCCCCCTACGACTGCTTCACTGCAGAATTTTTCCGTCCCTTCATTTCATTGAGTCCTAGGGGCCACCAGCCTTTGCAGGGTGCTGAGTTTGCATCTGGCACAGTGCACAGCTGCAAAGCAGTCAGGCCAAAACTGCAGGTAGAACTGAGACTCTTGTAAACCTGCAGAGAAGAACACTGAACCGGATACAACTCAGCTACCTCGTCCCTTCACTTTATTCCACAGCACGAAAGGTCTGCTTTGGAATTCTTCAGTCACAGGAGCTGGCTCAAGGGGCTATCTCCATCTGGGCCATGTCCATCCACATGCCATGGTCCACTAGCTCACCTCCTTGTCCTCCTGGGAGGTCAAGCCAGGAAGCTGGCATCCTGTGATGACCACCAAGTCCATATTACATGGTCTTCTTCAGAATTGGGATCCAGGTACCCATACCTGACCACTCTGCCCCATAAGCAGCCACCAAGGGAAAAAGAAAATCAGAAGCAAAAGAAAAAAGCTACCTACTTACCTAAGTGAAGATTTTAGAATGCTTTAGCTTATAAAGCCTTGGGCAAGAATAATTTTTCCTTTCCACAAATGATTAAGCATCTCCACTTGGGTTTTCCCTCTTCTGGCTCCAACATAACCCTCACTAGAGTACACAATGACATGACCAACGAGCTTTCTGACTGCTCACTGTCCCCAGTTACCAAGGAGCTTTATACTTTTCTTTTTTCCTATGTTGACTTGAGTTCTTCCCAGATATTGTAGCTATTTATACAGGCAGGATTCATAGAGAATGCATCAAATCTTTTTATATTACTTCAGAACGTCCTACTGAACCCAGGTCCCATGGTTACTCCTTTGACTTCACATGGAAGGATAAAGAATGTCATATTTCTCTCCTCCCCTCAGGAAAGTGACAAAGAGTAGAACCCAAATGCTTTTGCCCAGTAGCACCTCCCGCCATGATCCTAGCTGCAAAGCTCTAGCAGATGACTGCAGGTGGCTTGGATCCCACTAGAGCAGAACCAACACAACATGCTGTTCCTGAGACCACAAGTCAGGAGGGAGTGTGGATGAAGAAATGACCCTTCACACAGGCTATAAACAACAACAAAGAACAATGGCTTTCTACAAATAGTGCTAAGTGAGAAACATCCTTCCTGTTCTTGCTCGTCCCAATTGGCTTGAAGAATTTGGGCAACACAGAAATCAGCACAATGTTCTCACTGGGAAGCAACTCAGATCCCAAGAAAAACACCATCAGGCAAAATTCCTGGGTTTCCTTATTCTTACAAATTTGAACAATCCATGGGGGTGGAGGACTGTTTTCTTGCCAATCACTAAGAGGGCCAGATAATATTTTCGTGGTATTATTTTAGGAAGGGAAACTTTGTAAACAACCTCAGCAGCAAATCCATAGACAGCTTGTCTGGATCCTTATTTGAAGCAGAAGGTCACCAGGGAGGTAGATGTCCCAGATGCACTTTAGGCATGTGACAATGTGCCGAAGCTGGGCCAGTGCTGGCTTCCAGACAAGGAATACTGACCTCACCTTCTAAGTTTTGACAGTGCTGTAATGCAGCCTGCCTGGGACGCATGTGTCAGAGTGGAAGCCATGCTCAGAGGCTGGCGTATAGTAGACAAAAAGGTCTGTCTCCCAAGAGCAAGGAGCCTACACGACACAGGACAGGCATATTTGGAGAGAATGGGGACTGCTGTCCTACTCTAAGAATAGTAAATGCGAACAAGTGGGGAGTGTGTTGGGAGAAAGAATGAGTCTAGTGGAAAGGCAAATAATCTTCTGAACTACATTTGTTCGAAAAAGGAGAGTCGAGGTGGCAGGAAGCCCATCAGTATTATGGCTACCAGCCCAGGCTCTGGGTCTTGACGCCAGGTCAAACCCAGTTCTACCACAGGCCTCGATTTCCAATGCTGCAGAGCAGAGACAATGATATTTGCACTTAATTCCCTCGGTTGGTATGAGGAATCAATGAGCACACCAATAAGCAAACAACAAACAAACAAACAAACACAGAAGCCTCTTAGAGCAGTGTTGTCTCCCACACAGAAATCACTCAATAAATATCAGATGTTGTTGTCATTCCCATTGCTATAATTACCACCACCACCCCCATTCTGTCGTGGAGCATGACTGGGTCCCCTCCAGAGCCTGGAATCCATCTTGCCAATCAGTAGGGAGAAGCTGCCAGTGTATTTCTCTGCCAATTTCTCTCTGATAAGTTGACTAGCCATTTGACAGTCTTCTCACATGGGGACAATGGCTGCATAATATCTACATCATAGCTCAACTTAAATGGAGAAATTACAAATTCAAAAAGTTGGCTATCTCTTTCAGGGTCAAGTGAAAATTCTGCCTTTAACAGGTCATATTCAAAGTCAAGAACACAAGACAGAAACTCAACAATACAACCCACAATAAAAAGTTCACAAATTCCCTCCCTTCTCCCCAAAGTAACAAGCCAAGACATCTGCGCAGACCCCATAGCAGCTACACAACAAGTGTACTGACCTGCTTTGTAGGCGCCTGGGTCGGCGGAGGCAGGGAACTTGCTGTGACCACAGGGGGGCTCCCAGGGCCACAGAGCTCAGGGAATGGATTTGGTATGGCCGGCAGAGATGAGGTTCTGAACTGCTGGTCTTCCTCCTGAAGGCGCCTGTAGGGAAGGGGATCATCATGGCTGGTTAAAATCTGCCATCCCCAACCTGTCCCAGCCTTGCTACTTCTGGGTCCATGCCTAAAAGAACTGAAAATACCAGATTTGCAGCAGCACTATTCACAATAGTCAAAAGGTGAAAGTAACTCAACTGTCTATTAACAAATGGATGCAAAAGCAAAATTACCCTATCCATACAGTGGCATATTATTTGGCTTTTAAAAAGCACGGAAATTCTGACACATGCTAATAGCATGGATGAACTTTGAGGATATTATGCTAAGTGAAATAAGCCAGTACTAAAGACATATACTAGATGATTCCACTTATATGAGGTATACAAAGTAGTTGATGGGAGCTTCCAGGGGTTGAGGGCAAAGAAAATAGGGAATTTAGTTGAGTTCAGAGTTTCAGTTTTATGAGATGAAAATATTCTATAGATTAGAAAATTCTAAGTGTGTATTAATATGTGAACTGCAGACTTTAAAATAGCTAATATGGTAAGTTTTATATTATATATATTTTACCATGAGTAAAAACATTTTTTTGAAGTAGTTACTCTCAGACCCAAAGAGTATAAATTCCCTCTTCATTATACTCCCCAGGGGATGAAGAAGCCATGGTTGTAGTGACTTCATGCACATCTCCAACAATGCTCAGTGTACGATGTGTACTTGGCATTTGTTCAATGAATACCTGGTGTGTGAAAAGGTCTTGTGAATAAGAGCATTTTCATGAGAACAAAGATGTTTCAATGTCCTTGAAATGAACCTTTACCTAACCAAAGGAAAAAACTGGAAGAGGCTTTATGTATCCTCATCTGACTGTAGAATAAATGCTTATTTATACAGAACGGTAGTTGATACTGAACTAATTAGAAATCAAAGCTTCATGTATCTACCCCTCCTCAAGGGTAGCTCAGAAATACCCTCTAATTCAATACTCCACACTTCTTGGCACTTCTCCAGAGTCAACTCCTCCCTCCTCTGAAAAATGCAAAGTTCGCCTGTCATACACTGAAGGAAAACGCACAGGATGACGAATTGGGTGCAATTATGAAAATAGCAGAGAAATCATGTTCAAAGTCAAAGCAAAATGAATGCAAAATGCTCTGTGCTTTTCTTCCTGAGAGTCCTATGAACAACTTCCTGCCCACAACTCCAGAGCTTTCCTGGGAACTCATGGCCTCCTCCATCCATGCCTGAAGCATGTTGCCTAGGGCACAGACACCTGCCTTCCAGGAGAGGAGAGCAAACCTGAACTATAGAGTCTAGTCCTAACCCTTCGCCTTGTTTAAATACACTTCAGAAGCCCCTTGCGAGGGCTGTGTCTTCAAATAATTTTTTGACTATTTTTACAATTGGAGAAGAACAATGATCCATTAGCTTTCCTGGGGGTGGCCATTAGAGAATTCCCTCTGTGACTATCTTACTTGTTCTCTCTTGACCAACTACTCTGATTTTAAAGGAAAGCCTGTCTATCCACATGCACCAGGAAATGATGTACTGATTTAAAATACCAGAACTCAGATGGCATGAAGGGAACTGGTCCTGTGAAGAAAAGCCATTCCTATAATGGATTAACAAGTCAGAAAGTTTATTTTTACTGTTAACAAATCCTATTCTTCATATAACAGCTTTGGCCTTGGCAGAGCATCCTACTGTCGAGTCTGACCACTATCATACAGACGAGGAGAAAAGGTGACGGAGTCAGGATCACTTTCAACCAAACGCCTCTACCAATGACTTAACCCCAATGACCGTTTTGTCTTTGACTCACAGAACAAGATACAAACTTGTTCACAAAAGCTTCCCTCTTTCAGCATCTCTAAATATTTTTAATTTAATTTTTAGTATTGGTTTTAATATTGCTTTTGTTTGTTTGTGTGTTTTACTTTCTAGTAGTTCAGATATTTCCTAGAGCAAAAACTAAGGGGTATTACACAAAGATGAAAAGAAAAAAAAAATTCCCCACTAAAGAGCTCCACAATAAAAGGATGCATCCCTTATAGGTCATTTCCCCAAAGAAAAGTTACCATGGTGGGGCTGGGGTTGTGGCTCAGAGGTAGAGCACCCGCCTAGCACGTGTGGGACACTGGGTTTGATCCTCAGCACCACATAAAAATAAAATGAAGACATTGTGTCCACCTATAACTAAAAAAATAAATATTTTTTTAAAAATTACCATGGAGATGAGCTAAGATTCAAAGATGTCAGAAAGGGAGAAAAAAGTGCCATAACGTGGAGGCAGGAGCAGGTGAGGGCAGGGCAGGGGTGGAGGTGGGCCCTATTCTGTGTTCTCTGTGCCTTTGCCTAGCTCATCCTTTTGTCCAGCTGAGAGTACACTCACAGTCCCTCGGCTCTCTCACCCAAACCCTCCTCCTCCTTCACAAATCAGCTCAACTCTCAGCAGGTCTATGAAGCCTGTGTACCTGCTCTAGGCTTGTCCTCTATCCCTGGCTCCACCCAGCCCATCTGAGTGTGGAGTGGCCACCTAGCTCCACACCGTGTGGACTGTGTTCTATGGACCTAGAACAAGGCTCAAGGCCTGTCTCATCCAAGCTGCATAGCTCCTCAGCCTAGGTCCAACTGCTGGTTTCCCACACCTTTTAGGTATGGACCTATTTACCCCTGAGGCTGTAGGGGATGGATCCAGATGCCTGGATCCCAACTAGGTCACTCCTTCTGGACTGAACAGGAGACAGATACAGGGGAGACACTCTAGAGAACAAAGTGCGACAAACAGTGGAGGAGGAGATGACTCACCATCCCCAACTGTGACCAACAGTGGGAAGTCTGAGCAACGGCCCAGCAGAACACCAAAGCACCCTCTCTGCCTCCTCAGGAAAGAGAAGTCCCTTTGGGTGAGATGCTTTGACCCAAGGTGTCAAATTGGAAATAAACTTCTTAGAAGCTTCTGGAAGCAAGAAAGATCCCCAGCAAAAGGAATAAAGCCATCCAGGTTATCAGTCTGACTGTCACAGCATAACATGCCTGCATTCAAGGAATACTTACTTATTCTACTTAATAATGGCTCCAAGAGCAAAAGCAGTGTTATGTTTTGGATGTGAAGTGTCCCCTAAAAGCTCACATGTGAGAAAATGCAAGACTGTTCAGAGGGAAAATGACTGGGTTGGAAGAGTCTTAACCTGATCTGTGAATTAATCCCCTGATAGGGATTAACTGAGTGGTAACTGAAGGGGTAGGGTGTGGCTAGAGGAGGTGGGAATTAGGGCGTGGCTTTGATGTATATATTTGTATCTGGAGAGTGCAGTCTCTCTCTTTGCTTCCTGGTCACCATGATGTGAGCTGCTTCCCTCTACCACCCTCTCCCGCCATGATGTTCAGCCTCACTTTGAATGGAGCCGGCCTTCTCTGGACTAAGATCTCTGAAACCACGGGCCCTCAAGTGAACTTTTCCTCCTTACAGTTGTTGTGGTCAGATCCTTTTCATCACAGCAGCAAAAAAGGTTGACTACACCAGGTAGTGATGCTGGCAAATCTACTACAGCATATTATCATAATCCTTCTATTTTATTATTAGTTGCTAATCTCTCACTTCGCCTAATTTACAAACTAAACTGTATCACAGGTCTGTTATGTATAGGACAGAACAGTGCATGTAAGATTCAGTCCTATCTTTGATTTTAGGCATCCACTGGGAGTCTTCGAATATACCCCAAGGATAAGAAGAAATGACCACATCCATTATTAAAATAAAGGGAACTCATCTGTCTCTTGACTTTGCACAGTCACCTCCCATTACCACATCAAGGGCACAGGGCAGCATCTTGTCTGCTGGGCCTACCTGACAGCGAGGATGTGCACCGGCTGGGAGCGCTGCACTTTCTGCCTCGGGGACGCCTGTGCCTGGGCAGGCTTTGAGGCCGAGGCTGGTGGCTGGCTGCGGGCGTGCTGCCCATTCTGCAGGAGAGGCACCGTATCGGACTGCATGTTGCAAGCTGAGTAAAGGCTCTCCAGAGATGCGTTCATATCACTCACCAGCACTTCCAGGTCCACATCATCCTCTGTACATGAAAAGGCAAGAACAGAATGAAATGTTAGTGGCAGCAAGGTTTCATACCCAAATGTGCATTTTTTTTGGTGACTGGTCACCAAAGTCAACAATATTTTTAAAATATTACATAAGGATGCATAAATATCTTCAAGTAACCAAACATATTGCACTAATAATTATTGATACATAGAGCCATAATTCAATTGCACCTCCACATGTCCTTACAGGGGGTACCAGGTGGAGCCCCTGAATAGCTCAATACCCTCCTTCTACACCTCTTTCCTTCCTCCCCACTGTCACTGGAGTGGGCTGTGCACAGCCAAGGTTATATAACATGACCCCACTGTCCTAGTCTTTGCTGGCAGGATCCCAAGTGGACAGTGAGCCCTAAGGCCAGACTCTTCTTCCTTCCTTGAAATTCCAGAAGTACAACAAAGAAAGAACAGAGTGGCACCAAACCTTGACACCAGTCCCAGCCCAACAAAACTAAAAGGTGGAGAGACAATGGCATAGAAGTCACTGTGCAGCTACTGCTAAAACATGTGCCTACAGACTTCTAGACACCACCCTCTACCCCTTGAGTGGACTGAAGTCTGAGGAAGCCCATTCTGACAGGGGAGGGCATGAATCACACTTAGACAGAAGGCACGATGGTATGGAGGGCAAGCCAAAGAGAATGACAGGAAACACAGAGAAAGGTATGAGTGAGCACACAAGGGCTGTGATGGTTAACTGTGTGTGTCAACTGGCTGGGCCATGGTATTCCAGCTTAACATCCAAATAGAAGTTTTCCTTTTAACAACCAAATAGAAGTTGTGCTGAAGGTGCTACTTAGATTAATATTTAAATCAGTGGACATGGAGCAGGCAGACTGCCTTTGCCTTATCCAATCAGGCAAAGGCCAAAAAGAAGAGGACTGGCTTCCTGGGGGGAAGGTGCGATTCTATCTCTAGACTTGACACACGGTTCTTTCCTGAGTCCCCAGCCTGCTGCCTACCCTGTGGATTTTGGACTTGCCAGCCTCCACAATCATTTGACTTCAGTGTGCATCACTACATACATCTTATTGGTTCTTACTGATTCTGTCTCTAGAAAACCCTGACTGCACAGAGACATAGGTATGTAACAGTACACAGAGATGGAGGAGAGTGGGGATGGGAAAAGAGACAAGGAGCCAGGACTGGGTCACATAGCCARGGTCAGAGTGGTCTTGCACTGCTCAGTTTTCAGGGCTGACTGCATCCCTGCCCAGGGAAGACACATAAAATAAATATTCTCCCACTTCTATAATAATTGTATTTTCATGTGTTTAAGCTATTTTGAGCTTGTTTTTTATCTGTCACCAATGTTTCCTAATAAAAACTGACCCCTTTTTTTATTTTTTGCATTTTCAGGTTTGCCCCTTTTTAATAAAAACCAAACAAATAATCACCTAGGCTCACTGTAATGCAGCACTTTACAACTAACATAATTCACCATCTCATTTGCTCCCAAAATAATCTCAAGTGACATTCATCCCACATATAAGACTTAAGAATCACAGACGTCAAGACCCTCATGCTACTAAAGGCTACATACAGGCTCCTAATAGGGAGGAAGGAACACAGAGACATTTGCAAACTTGGACACTGCAAACTTGCTTATTCTGGCCCTGCTCCTACTGCCTTGAGGCCCAGGACAAGAGACTCAGCTTTCTATTCTTGGCGTCTTCAAATCTAACATGGGGTGAGCAATAGTAGTCACACCTTTGGGGGAGGGGGAGGATTATGCTTTACATAGTGCCTGGCATGGAGTAAACAGTAAGATGCTACTTATTAGCTCTATTTCATCTATTCCTTACAAAATAATGTAAAGCGGTCACTACTAACTAGTTTAACAGCTCAACATAATGGTCTGGAGGACTTAGGTCGCACAAGCAGTGTCTGTAGAACCTAGAATTTGAAAACAAATTTAGCTACTCCTTTGACCTCACCAGGTGTGTGCACAACAGATGAGCGCACAGCTCTTCCTGGAACACTTGGCTCTTCCTGCCTCTCCGGTTCCCTACACAAAAGCCTCGAATGACAGCTGGGGAGTGGAGCTTAGTGGTAAAGCACTTGCCTAGCATGCTCAAGGCATGGGGCTTGATCCTAGTACTAAAAAAAAAAAAAAAAAAGTCTCAGAGGGTCTTTGCTTTGGCTTCCCTTATGTCAAGACTAAAGGGCATAACAGAACAAAATCACTTCAAAACCCAGCCTAAAGAAGGCCTGGCAGCCAAAATGGTACAGAGAATGGGAGAGAATAGAACAGGGTTGCCTAATGGTTAGCATCTGGGCATCTGTGGTCAGCAGGACAAGGGGTAAAGCAATGTATAGTTACAGGAAAGCTTGGGCAGAAGAAGAAGGGCCATGGAATCCTCCATGTGCTCTTTACTCTCCTAGAAATGGTACCCAAAGAGGGTCTCTGATGAGGCAGGTCATGCTCAAGGTCATGAGGAAGACAGACAGACATCAGGGGACTAAAATAGCAGCCATAAGACCATGATATCTGATGTGCCCAGTCCCAGCTGGAATGAAGAATGGAAGCCATGTGGGAGAGACGCTGGGGTTGTTGAGTAAATAGGAACTGGGAAAGAATGGGGATCATTCTGAAAAAAGGTGCAGACATCAAGTTGGACCTCAAAATTTGGACTGCCCTGAAGGTCCAGGGTCTGTGTGGGGAGGAAGAAGAAGAGAGGACGAGAATGCTGCTATAGTTCAGGTTATAAGCAGTCAAATATTAATCCTGTGGCCAAATATTAAAAGGACAAAAGTGCTGAATCAATAACTAATGGTCACCATATAATTAATAATTAATATATCACAAGGGAGAACCCTCGGGGTCAGCAGGCAGAACTCCTATTTATAGTTGGGGGTAGGGGGAGACAGTGGGAAAAAGTTGGTTGACAGAAAACCAGAACCTGTGGGAGCTAGTGTATACATGCCTGTAGTTTCTGCTGTCTGCTGACGCTGTGTGGCCTAGGAGAAATCCTCCTCTGTACAGCATCAGGGCAACACTTGGCAAAGGCACAAATGTCGGGAAGTAGCTGTCCAGAGACAGCCAACTGCTAATGAAAAGACTTCAGTTCTATATTTATTAGGACCTCAGAGAACTCATTGTGAAGAAAAGTGTAAGTTACACTAGAGCTCACAAACATGGGGCTTTGGGAAAGTTCTAGAATACATGCATCATGAATTCCACTCACCTACACTCACCGCATTTAGCTGATGTGGTAATAGTGGGTTAATCTAAGCTCTGTAAAACAATTAAGGTCACACGCTGCTCTTAACTCACCATATTAACTGCTCAATATTTCCACCTTAATGGACCATTTAAGAATCAATACTGGGTGGAACACAAAGTTCACTGTGATTATGGAGTCAGTCTTGGGGAATGCACCAGGGGGGCCTCATCACCTGCACACGCAGACTCAGGGAGCACTCTGCCAATCCAGTGGCACTTCATGGAGGGATGTTTTTTAAGTATTTAAAGATGGGAGGAACCCTGGCAGAATACAAAGGCCCCTGTTTTCACCGCTCACATCCTGCTTTAGAAATCAAACGGTAACACAGTTCTTACTCTCAGACAGGTCTCGTCTGAGAAAATAAAACGTCTCGATTCCTGCTGGCATATTTTCAGCTGCAGTTATTCCCCCCCCCCCGGTATTTCTGACAGCCCTTGGCAGTGCCCACCCCCAGTGACAGTCCCTAGTGTCTCTGGTCTTTTTGCTCCTGTTACTTCTCAGTCAACCAAATAATTCCTGGGTTACACCTCTGTAGTCAAGTCAAATGCAAAACAATTTTGACATTATTTACAGTAAATATATGGTAAACAGATGTCAAAACAGAAAGGTAACACATGTCCTCAGAATATTTTTACTCTCTTCAGAAGTAGGTTATTTACAACTAATTTCTACTTCAGTACATTTGGGTTTCTTTAAACACACAGCCAGGTTAATCTGGTAACATTCACTTAGTTATGATTTTTCACAAATTGAATATATATATGGATGCTTCAAACCTGTAAACTTTCTACAGCTTTTAGAGCAAAAACAAAGCTTTTTAAATAATCTGAAATGCCCTCCTGTAAAATAAACTTTAAAATGTCCTGCAGGGTCAGTTAGCATTTTACCTGTTTTGATAATAAAATGACTACAGTTATCTGATTTTAGGCAAACTTCCTTAAATTCTAAAGTGAAACTAAATGAAATCTTTCTAACACTACTTCATATTTTACAGCAAGTTTTTAAAACTCTTAGTGTAGACTAGGATGTTACTGAAATCACATTTAGTTCTTATAAACATTCCATATGGCTTATGTTCCATCAGCTCATCCATCTCAGTGAGAATCCTGTATGTCTCTTCCATACATGTAGCCAACTTCTACATTCTTTTCTAGTCCTATGAATCCAAGTAGATCAATAATCACCCATTTGTGAAAGGCTTTCTGCCAGGTAAGAGAAGTGGGAACATCAGAAAAACTGATGCTTCTAGAAATGAATGTTCAGATTAAGTATCTATTCAATGCTAACCTGGTACAAAAATATTTTCCATGAGCTTATCTTTCTGGAAGGAATACTAGAAGTGAAAGGGAAAATGATTTTATATATAAAATGCTACTTCATATGAATTTGTGAGAATGTATTTACTGCACAAATATAGCCAAAAAAACATGGCTGTTAAGTTATTAATAGTTACTTTCCTTCCTTAAATAACCCAGTCCAAAACTGGGCATGTACTTTGTCCCAAATATTTGAGTAGCTCATCTTAACTCAAATTCACATCTCTTTTCTGTCACTGTCATTAGCAAACTGAGGCTAGTTTAAGTTCTAAAATAAATTCAGGGAAACAAATTTGCATTTGGCTTTATAAACCATTATGAATGAATGTTTTCCACAAACCAAGAGAGACATGCTGACCAGGAAACGGCAAAGAGGAGAAAGATGGTGTTAGCAGAGGAGGATTTAACTTCCTACACCACCTTACCTCCTTA